CCCCCCCGTTTCCCACAGGCCTCCGAAGGAGTCTCCTTCCCTCCAGCAACGAACGCTTCTTCCAGGTTACCCCTGGTGACTTCTCCCCCCATCGCACCTCCAGCCCCTTGCCCGGGACAAGGCTTCTCCTCCCCGTCCCCGATCCATTCCTCCTGGTGCTGGGGCTGCTTTCCTCCCCTGGGCATGGCTCAGCACTCCGGTTTTGCCCCGCCGACGCCGCCGAACTCCTGCGCCTCCGACGCCCGGAAAAAAAGACTTCCCACATGCACGCCTCCTACTCACTGCGCCTGCGCAGGAGGCGCCGCGTCGCGGCTGCTCCAGGCGGAGCGAATAATATCGCCCTATAAGTGCCGACCGGGTTGTATGATAGAGATCGAGATACTTCCTAGAAAGGCCCGCAGGCATGCTAACCATAGAGAGCAGCCAAATCGTTTTAGAGAGAGTCGAGGAGCAGCAGAAAGGTCCTCTGCTAAACACGTGTCGTTTTCCTTTGGATTTCGGGATGGGAGGCTTCTGACATTCCAGTGTATTTCCTCAGTGTTGAACTACAGTCTCTTACTGACTACTTCATCGTCGTTATTGCATATAAAGACAAGAACTATGTTGTATATAGTCTTTATAACTATATGTGGTGACTTTGGACCAATTACTCTCACTATGCGTGCTCCCTCCTCTTATTTCTCTCTCCACCTCTGAATGATAGATGGGATATCAATCATGAAAACAAATAAAATTATATGGTACAATGATGGTTGGATGATGGTATAAAGTGCCTCGAGTTGGTGTAAATCATGGGGCCTCGTGTATTCATAATCGATGTTTCAGCATAGCCCATAACAAACAGAAAAGTGGACAGAAGTCCCAGAGAGATGAAACCAAGTCCAAAAAGAGTCAAATGACGTTGACTTAAATATTCAACTTCCACAAGCCAAAGCAACTGCACTATTGTTGAGTATTTGCAGAGATTTCTCCTATAGTGAATACAAAAACCAGCCTCTAATACTGGAGCGTCCTTCAGAAGATTATCTGTTTTCTGCAAATCCATCCAGACGGCTGGCAAATTTTTTAAAAAACAAAAAAGTGAACTTCCTTCTACTTAGTGTGGGAATGGTAGTGAATAATGTGGGTTGTCTTCTGCAGTTGTCCCCTGCATAAACAAAATGAGAGTCAGAAAGGATATTTCTGTATTAAGTAAGTCAAGTCTCTATGATTTGAGCTCAACTCCTAATTATTTAATGGACGTATCTGTGCAGTCTTAGCAACAGTACAGAAGTGGTTTGCCGTTGCCTTCTTCCAGGATATTCTTCAACTTCTCAACTAACCTACACTTCCGGAATTCCCAGCGGGTCTTTTACCCCAATATTAAGCAGGCCCAAACCAAGATAAGGTACTGTTGCCTGCTGTTGCCTGCTGATAACCAATGGTGACCAGCTGCATTTTCAACAGTGTTCACATTCCTCAGTAGATGTACTAACAATAAGGAATCATTTGGTGTTTAAATTTGGAATCAGTTTAATGTAAAATCAAGCTAGATTGTTTACCTTTTTGGGCAAGCGATTTTTTATTACTGCTCTTTAATATAATATCATTGTGTTTCAGTGACCACCAGCTTATAGAACCCATTGCACTCAGAGGGACTGATTAAACTCATAGGATTTATTTTTTACTCAGCATGCTTATAATCAGCTGATTTCAAGGGATCCGAGATACAGATGTCCTCCCCCCCCCCCCCCCCCCCCCT